GTGAGCGGTACCACAAGCAGTAACACCAATTTATTTGTGTATGCTGTCTTTAACCACTTCCTTTTGACTTCTTGTTATCATTTTGTTGTTGTTAAAAAGTTTAATGAAAATTAGATGGAAAAAAGAAAAATACAACTACCTACCTACCTACTTGAGCTTCTTCTATTTCTAGGGCAACTTTCTATGTATTGACAGTTCCTTTAAGTTTTTTTCCTCTTAACTGCGCACTAATTTGTTTCATATTTAGCCATAAAATCTGAATGAGCTACAATCTAAATTTTATAAATTTCATTCATTGTTCAATACAACCAAATATGGGATGCAAGTTTCATAATCATAGAGATTTTTAAGACTGCACTTTATTCCGAAATAGAATAAAAACAAAAACGCAATTACCTAACGATGTTGATATGCTGCTTACCTTAATTCACTTTTCAATCTGTAACTTAAACCACTCAAATCTTATATATCATGCACACACATAGTATATGTTACATAAGCTAAAAGAAAAAGAGAGAGAAAAAATGGGGCTTGGAGTGATAGTAAAATTAAATGTTTCATAATTCTTCTAGTTTTTCATTTTGCATCGATTGCTCTTGGAGATGAGGTAGCAATAGATGAAAGATGCGACCAAACAGTTCTGCACCCTAGCCAGTGCAAACGCTTATGATTCAGCCTCCAACCCAAAGCCCAATAACAAGCACGACTGAGTTCCTAAAGATGTACCTAGAACAGACACTAGAGGGAGCCGTGAAAGCCAAGTGCGACACGTACTCACTCGGGTCACAGTTTGATTCGAAGGGAGCGTGGGAGGACTGCATGGATCTGCACGACCAGACCATCTACAGGCTCAACCAGTTCGTCTTGTCGTGTCTAACAAACGCGTGCTCTGGATCGGACGTGCAGACTTGGCTAAGCATGACGTTGACCAACCTGGACACGTGTCGGGAAGGGATGTCAGAGCTCGGTGTCTCATCTGAGTCCTTACAATCAGTGTTAGCTAACATAACCATAGATGTCATCAACGCCTTGGCCATTATCAAGGTAACATGAATCTTTCATTCTCAAATTAACTAAGTCTTTTTTTGAAAACATAATAAAACAGGGGATGAAACAGAAGATGAAAATAAATGAGAACGAGTTTGGGGTATTAAAACAAGGAGCAATGGAATCGCCGTCGACTAATGGTGAAAGGGTGGATGTAGTGGTGGCTCAAGATGGTTCAGGCGACTACAAGACGATCCAAGAAGCGATTGATGGTGCAGGAATCGAAGCCGGAGGTACGTTATACGTGTGAAGCAAGGCGTTTACAAGGAATATGTGATTGTCGGAAGCAAATCCATTCACCTGATGATCATCGGCGACGGTATAGATAAGACCATAATCACCGGAGACAGAAGCAACGACACCGGATTTAGGACTTTCGATTCCACCACATTTGGTTAGTCACTCATTTCTATTAGCATATCACAGAGTAAAGTATACATTGATGATAAATGTTCAAAGCTGCTTTTGTTTGACAGTGGCTAAGGGGGATGGCTTGGTGTTGCGAGAGATGACGATAAGCAACACGGCAGGACCAGAGAAAAAATTAGCGGTGGCTCTACGTATGGATTTGGACGCGTCAGCGTTTCACGGAATCAGTATTGAGGGCTTTCAGGATACGCTCTACGTCTACGCTAACCGTCAGTTTTTCAAGGAGTGCCATATATACGGAACGGTGGATTTTATCTGCGGTGACGCAGCCATCGTCTTCCAGGACTGTCAGATACTCGCACAGAGACCGCCCGGCGGAGTCAACACCATAACGGTACAGAGCCGGGTCAGCAAGAATCATACGGGTGGGATCGTGATACACAACTCAGTGGTGAAAGGAGATCCGAAGGTACGGCTCGGAGGCATGAAAACGTATCTGGGTCGTCCGTGGAAACGGTACGCACGGACGGTGGTGATGAGGACGCAGCTTGGTCAATTGATCGAACCCAAATGATGGCTCGAGTGGGACAACAAGACGGACTTTAGCACGTTGTGTTACGGAGAGTATAGGAACTGGGGACTAGGTTCGGGTACAGAGAACCGGGTAAAGTGGCCCGGGTTTCAAGTGATATCGGATGAAAAGGAAGCTCATCGGTTTATGTTACCCAATTTCATCGACGGTGCTTCTTGGTTGCCGGAAACCGGAGTGCCTTTTCTCCGTTGATCTCTAAAACTTGAGACTCCATGATTATGTAAAATATTGGACTGAAAGTGATACTTCATTACTTCAATAAAG